TAAATTTCCTTTCATTTGTCTAGGTTTTTGTTGTTGTTTCTCTATGTTCTTGGGAAGGAAGAAAGGAATATGGTGTGTGTGAAATTTAGATAACTAATTTTTTTAGGGGTGGAGAGGGTTTGGAGACAGGGTCTCCCTGTAGTCCCAGCTGGCCTGGAACTTACTGTGTAGACCAGGCTGGCCTCCATCTCACAGAGATCTGCCTGCCTCTGCCCCCCTAGCCCTGGGATTAAAGGTATACAGCACCAAGCTTGCCTAGATAATTGATTTTTAATACTCTTTTCTATTGTATACGTTACTTATAGCAATAAAGTTTCCTCTGAATTCTGCTGTATGTAGCTGCATTTCAGGTGTTTTGATATTTTATATTTTTACTTTCTAGTTTTGTTGTGTCTTTTTGGTTTTTATTTATTATTTTTTATTTTATGCATATGAGTGTATTGCCTGCATGTGTGTAAGTGCACCGATGTTGTACAGTACCCTTGGTCAGAAGATGGCATAGGATCCCCTGGAACTGGAGTTACAGATAATTGTTAGCTACCATGTGGGTGCTGGGAACTGAACCTGGGTCCTCTGCAAGAACAGCCAGCGCTCTTAACCGCTGAGCTCTCTCTCCAGCCCCTTGTTTTTGTTTCTGAACAGAGAGTATTCAGACATCTGAACAATTCTAAACAATTGGGATTTTATTATTTCCTTTGTTACTGATTCTACTTTAATTTTTCCATGATCAGTGAGCGTTCTCTGTATCTCAACCCTTTGAAATGTCTTGAAATTTCCATTGTGAGCTCATGATAAATGATGTGTACGTGACAAGAGAGTCCACTCTGCATCTGTGGCGCTGTGTATATAAAGGGGGTCAGACGGGTCCATGCCTGCGTCTTTCCTGCTGTCTCTGCTCTGCTTCCACAAGAGGTACGTGCACATTTGGCTATGCTGCTGCTGGATTTCTCTCCTTTCTGTTCTGTCAGTTGTTGTAAATCAACCTTATTGCAATAAAATTTACATAAAATCCATCATATGTGTAACTCAGTTATTTTAAAAATAATTTTATTATATTCATTATTTGTTATAATTTATTTATTTAAATTGTACAAATGAGCCTTGTTTACATAGTTCCGGTCTAGCCAAGGCTACATAGTGAGATCTGGTCTCAAACAAAACAAAACAGAAAATAGAAAAAGCAAAACAAAATAAAAACCTGTATGATTGAATAGGGCTCAGTATCAACAGTATCAATGTTGGGACCTTTTTATCAACTGAAAGAAACTGCACTCATTTGCAGTCAGTCCTGTACCTCCAGGCCCCTCACTTTAAGCAGCTCCTAACTGCCTCTGCCTCTGTTTTCATCTGCTCTGATCCCCGCTGATAAATGGAATCATTATGCTCATGGACTTTTGCATCAGGCTTCTTTCTCATCATTTTTTGGGCACATGTATGTGTGCGTGTATGTGCATGTATATATGCATGTTTGCAGGTGTGTGAGCATGTATGTACATGCACATATACATATTCATATGTGTATGGGTGCAGTATCTGAGGGGGCAATTTTTTACAAAGGAGTTACAGGCAAACAGTAAATTTCAGCTGTCACTATGTTTGCCTATATGGTCACCTTTACCAGTGCCTCCCCTTTTTACAAGATAGATTTTTATGTTTAATCGTGTGTGTGTGTGTGTGTGTGTGTGTGTGTGTGTGTGTGTCTGAGTGTATAAGTCCATCACACGTGCAATGCCAGCAGAAGCCAGAAAAGGGCATTGGATCCCCTGGAACTAGAGTTCTGGATGGTTGTTAGCTGCCATGTGCATGTTGGGAACTGAACCTGGGTCCTCTGGAAGAGCAACCAGTGAGTGCTCTTTACTGCTAAGCCATCTCTTTGGCCCCATCAGTGCCCTTTAAAAAAACAAACTTAAAATTATTTATTTATTTTTTTGTGTACGTGTGTGTACAGGAAAACTTTCAGGAGTCGATTCTTTCCTTCCACCATATGAGTTCCAGGAACTGAACTTAGGTCGTTGATCTTGGCGGCAAGCACCTTTACCCACTGAGCCGTATTGACCCATCAGTGCCCTTCTTTTCCTCACAGAGACTCGCTTCCCTCTGTAGTGTCCTTTACAGTTTGAAGTAATCCTTTTAGTATTCTTTGTAGGGTATGTGTGCTAGCAATGAGTGTTCTCATTTTTTGGTTGTTTATCTGAGGTGTTTTAATTCTCCTTCAGTTTTTCAGCCATGCAAGGAGACTGTTTATTTTGAAAGGATTTTTCAATAAACATAGTGAGCAAGCTCCAAGCAGCTGTCTGTTCTTCTCTGTCACACTCGTCCTCATAGGAGCTGATGTCTACTTTCTTGTAATCCTTCTTTAGGGCAGCCATAGCTTCCCAGCCTCAGGGAACTCACCCTCCTCCATGCCCTCACTTCATACCACTGTACAAAAGCCTTATTATCAGGCCTTGACCATGGCAGCTGTGTTGCTCAGACATTCTGTGCCTTGGCCAGGTCACTCCCAGACACCACAGTGAGCAAGTGATTGACACCAACCTTGAAGCCCGTGTGGCTCTAGTCCACAAACCGGATGTTGCACTTGGTCTTGATGCAGTGGTGGCATTCACATCCTTGGGCACCACATCTCCATGGTACAGCAGGTAGTAGGTCATTGTACTTGCATGTGCTGGGGTCACAAATCTGGTTGGCAGGCTCAAAGCAGGTGTTGATAATATTTGTCACCAACAGCAATTCCAATAGGCCTTCTTGATATGTAGGAAGTAGTCGTGAGGCTAGGGCACCAGGTTGATCTGGAACACTGTCAGGCTCACATCAAGAGCTACTTCAAAGTGCAGGGTAGCTGTGATGGAGGAGGCAGTTTGGCTGATGAGACAACTGAGGTTGGTGGAGGTTGGGTGCTTGTTGTCCAGGTTGTAGTGCTAAATGTGATATGTCATTGTCCACTATGAAGGCACAGTGTGAGTGCCCCAGGGTGGCGGCGTGTGTGGTCAGAATGGAGTCATAGGGCTCCACCACAGCTATGAACACTTAGGGGGCTGGGTAGATCAGCAGTGGAGTGGAGATGGAGCCAGTGCCCCCTCCAAAGCTGTGGAATTCCAGGAAGTCCTGAAGTCCCAAGCACTCACCAGACAGCTTGCAGATCTGATCCAGTCTGGGACCGAGGATCCCCTTGCCGATGATGTATGTCTGGGCATTGTTCTTGATGGTGGCATCCTTTAATCACAGCGATGAGCTGCTCTGGGTGGAAGAGCTGGAGGTATGGGTCATTTCAGGGTCATCAAATATGGCGGACTCTTAGTCTATAAACGTGTTCTCCAGAACTGGGTTCACAGAAGGTGGTGAAGGAGTTGTCCCTCATACCCGTGGTCTTGTCACTGAACATTTGCCCATGAAGCCTGTGTTCCAGACAGTACAGTTCCCAGCAAGCCTTGCCCATCTGGACACACGGACTGAGATGCATTCATACATGATGAACCCAGGCGGTACATCTCACACAGAGTCTCGGTCAGGGGTCTCACTGAGAACTTTCTCCTTCATGTTTGAAGTAGACCTTTGCTGGAATTCTTGGATGCCATTTTTTTTATTTTTTATTTCAAGGCTTTGAATATTAGCCCACTGCCTCTGGCTGGTATACTTTCTGATGCAGTCTGGCTATTGGTCTTTACATACCAGGATCATATTCTATGAGGTCCCCCTGTGTGTGATGAATTGTTTTGCTCTTAATGCTTGTAAGACACAGAAGCTCCTTGATTTATCACAGTTATATCCCAGTCAGCCTTTTGTAAAGTCAAAAATTATGTTGAAGTATATACCATTTCAGTATAGATGTTCCTTGTTACCTCCCAATGAAAAACTGAAAAATTGGGCTGGAGAGGTGGCTCAGCAGTTAAAAGCACTGGCTGCTCTTGCAGAGGACCTGGGTTTGGTTCCCAGCACCCACATGATGACTAACAGTTGTTTGTAACTCCAGTTCTGGTTGGCTCTGACACCCTCTTCTGATCTCTGTGGGCACTGTGCAACACTGGTGTACTTACAAGATGCAGACAACACACTCATACATATAAAAATGATAAATGTTTTTTTTGCTGGATGTGGTGGTGTATACCTTTAATCCCTGCACTTGGGAGGCAGAAGCAGGTGAATCTCTGTGAGTTCAAGGCTAGCCTGGTCTACATCGTGAGTTCCAGGCCAGCTGCAGCTACAGGGAGACCCTGTCACCAAAAAGACAATAATAATAATAATAAGTGTTTTTTAAAATTTTTATTTATTATTTTATGTGTATGTGTGTATTGCCTGCATGTAGGTAAGTGCACCCGTTTCGTGCAATGCCTGCGGAGGTCAGGAGAGGCTGTCGGATCCCCTGGGACTGGAGTTATGGACAGTTGTTAGCTGCCATGTAGGTGCTGGGATTCAAACCTGGGTCTTCTGCAAGAACAACCAGTGCTCTTAACCACTGAGGCTTCTCTCCAGCCCCATAAATGTTTTTTAAAAAACTGAAAAATCATAAGTTGAAGCACTGGAGATTGAGGCCCATCCATGTATACACTGCCTTTTTGCAGCTTGGTGTGTAGGTGTGGCTCACTTTGAATTTGTGCTCCTTGGAATTTGTTGAGCCTTATGGATATGTAGATTTATGTTTTTCATCAATTTAGTGAAATTTTCAGGCATTTTTCAGATGCTGTTTCTTCCCCCTTTTTCCCTCTCTCTCCTTTCTGACACTCCCACTGTGGTATGTTAGTGAACTTGACAGAAGAATGTCTTCCTAGCAGAGATGGGGCTGCTTTCCAGCCAAAATACTTGTTCTCCAGCCTACTGTATTTAGAGGCTGATCCCAGGCTGCCAGGTGTGCAGGAAGTGAATAGCAGCTTCCTTTCCATCAAGGAATCAGGAAGCTGGGGGGTGGGGGGACTCTTGGTTGTGGCCTGTTAATCTTGAGGAACTTCCTCCTGGAATGTGATAGACCATCTAATGAATAGACTTGGTTTGTTTTCTCTTTATAGATTCAATGTCAACAACACCATTCTTCACCCAGAGATCGTTGAATGGTGAGTACTGCCACGTTGGTTGCTGTTGAGTTCACGTCATGGAGAGGGGAGGTAGTTCTTTCTCCCATCCACTCAGCCAGTCCTTAGAGCTTCCTCCATCAACCTTTTCTGTTTTCAGATAACAATTTTAAAAAATGTATTTATTTTTATTTTACGTGTATGAGTGTATTGCGTGCATGTATATAAGTGCACCAATGTCATGCAGTGCTTGCAGAGGACAGAAGAGGATGTCAGATCCCCTGGAACTGGAGTTAGGAACAGTTGTTACCTGCCATGTGGGTGCTGGATACAAAGCCAGGTCTTCAGCAAGAACAACCAGTGCTCTTAATAGCTGAGCCATCTCTCCAACCCTAATAACATTTTTTTTTTTAAGTTGGTTGGTTAGATTTTTTTTGAAAGACCCCAGGGTCATTTGAATATCAGTTAAATTTCCCTTATCCTTTCTGGGTATTGTGGTGCATTCCTGTAATACCAGCACTCAGGAGGCAGAGGTAAAGCGTCGTGGGTTCAAGACTAGCCTGTATGTAGCAAGACGGTGTCTCGAGGCAAAACCAAAAGCAAAAACTTCCTATCAGAAGTAGAGAGCTAGACAGACAGCTCGAATGGAGGGTAGACAGTTGGAAGGGTCGACATAAGGGCACACATAACCATGGCAAGAAAGGTAAACAGGCTTCCTCAGGTGTCTCCACACCTGTTACCCATGTTCTTTGCTGCTTCTCACTTCCCTAGGCAGCCCTTACCTGCAGCACAGCTGGTCTGTCAGGTGGCTGTAGGGCGAACCTTCTTAGGTTGGGTGTGGCTCCTACAGGCCCTGGAACTTCAGATGCTGATGTGCCATCGGTTTTCTTTCCGAGCCACTGGGCTGTTCTTTGATAGCAACACAATGATTTTTTCTTTGTTGAATGGAGGTACTTATTGTGGAAGTGGAAGAGCAGAAAGGCAAAGCCTTTGCTGCCTCATCGCCCCACGGGGAGGTGTGCAGACGTCTCGCTTCTGATCCTGAGTCTGTGGTGACATTTTCCCACCTAGTTGGGAGGTCTGATTTGGTAGCTTAGAGCTTTAGAGCTGTGTCCTAAAGATGAGTGGAACTCAGCTAGGGGAGACACAAGATGAGGTATGTCAGAGAAATCTAGTGCTGAGGGACTCCTTGTTTGAGGAGATGAGGGAAAGCGTGGTGGCCTGTGTGGCCATGCGGAGCCAGGGAAACAGAACTCCAGAGTGATCTGAGGGTACTGTTGGAGTCCATTTTGACTTTGTCCTGAGAGAAAAGGGAGGCACAGGAAACCTATGAAAGGCTTAGGAGAGTGTAGATCAGGTTTGCATTTCCAACAGTCATTTCAGCCTCTACCTAGACACTCAGCTAGAGGCAGGAGCGGGAACCATTGCCAGTGAGGGGGCTGCTGCTGCAGGGCCCAGGTGGCCATGGAGGCCATAGGCATGACAGCGCTGAGAATGGCAGGTCTGGGACTTGAGTCAGGTGTGTTGAGTCTGAGGCAGGTGCCAGTGGGAGATGGGGCTGAGTTGCAGGTGGAGCTCCAAAACTGTTGACAGGTATTGGTGGTGACCCTCCAGAGATAGAGGCCAGGCTGGCTAGCCTAGCTCTGTCAGCAGCCCAGCCAAGTGCCTGTCACAGCCACACATTCTGTGAGAATGGGGACTCTGTCCTTGGGTTCACAACTGCCTCTTCTTGTTTGTATCAAGTAACCGATGCCTGGCTCTCTGTAGCCTGCGCTCAGCAGAAGAGCAAGTCCTGAGTACTCAGAATAGGCCTGTGTCCACTGTCTGCCTCACTGTGACTTTCCCTCGAGGTCATTGACTGTGAGGAGTGTGTTGGAGACCGCAACTGGGTCGTGCGCTCCAGTGTCTCCCCCCTGAGGGATGAGCCATTAGTTTGTCACTTTGGAGTAAGCTCGCTTTAATTCCGATGACATTTGCAAGGCTCTGAGGTGGAGTCTGCGTTTATAAGAATACCTCTCAACTTTATTAAAGCAAGCAGCAGAAAGGACTTATTTGGCATTTGATGGCAGTAGAACGATTTCAGAAATGTCACATTGTCCTTGCTGCCTCAGGGGTGTGTTTTAATAGCACAGGTCCCAGTCTCTGCAGTGATAGAGTTGCTCTTGGCAGATCCATCATTGCCACAGTTATTGCCCTCCCTGCCAGAACCTGAGGAGGGGTCCTGGGTGGAACAGCAGCAGGTCGTTCCTTTCCCAAAGCAAGTGTGCTTTCTATGATGTGAAATTTCCACTTGGTGTATATTTTGGGGTGCCCAGTTTTGGGTTTTTTTATTGGTTTGTTTGTTTTGAGGGTAACTCAAGGCTGGCCTCAAACTTGAGATCCTCCTGCCTCAGCATCCCCAGTGCTGGAATTATAGCTGCACACCAACACTCTCAGCAGGGCTCCAGATCTTAAATGTTCTGGCTACCTGTTCTGTCTCTCTCTTGTTCTCTCTCTCTCTCTCTCTCTCTCTCTCTCTCTCCCCCCTCTCTCCTCTCTCCTCTCTCCCCTCCCGTCTCTCTCCTCTCTGTCTTGGCCCTGTGGAGGGAAATCCATCAGCTCAGACACAGACACATCAGAGTCCTAATCTCAGTTTGTGTCCCTTGCGAACTCACTGAACTTTTCAGCTTCCATTGCTGCAGCTGTAATTCAGAGACGTGGTCCTGTTTAACTCATGGTGAGGGTGTAAGGGTTTGCCAGCCTGTTTCTTCATGTGCAAAGTAGGTGGGTTGCGCAATGATTGGAAGAGACCAGGGGTCAAATGCTAGTATGTCTTCACACAGACCCTGTTGAGAGTCTGCATGCGGAAGCTCTGTGCTGATGGACACTGAACGCGCTGCTTTGTTTAAAGAGGTTATTACACTCTACTTATCCCCACACCACAGTGAGGAAACTGAGGCACAGAGAAGTTAGTGACTCATTTGAGGAAATACCGTGCACCCAGGGTTTGGGTTCGAGTCTTGTGCAGCCCCTTGTAGCTCAGTGGCGCATCACGGGGTCTGAGACCTGTGGAGCACTGGCTTCTCACAGTTCACTCCCAGTCCGTCTGGAAGCCCAAGTGGTTGGAATACTTGGATTGGCTCTTGGGCTGTGGCCAGAGCATACAGCAGGGGCTGTGCAGGTAAGTATACTACTCCACGTAGTATCTCAGGTCCCGATGAGCCGCCTGGCTGGGGACGTCTGGGGACCAGTCTGATTGCAAGGCAGCAAGCAGCCTCTCCCAGCACGGGAAGCTGTTCTCATTTTTGTTTGGGTATCATTCATTTCCTTTGTGTGACTGTTTTATTGTTTTCCATTCTCTCAAGCAGGGCCTTCTTGATTTCCTGTAAATTCCTCTATAATCGCACTCTTCTCCACAAACACAAGATCATAACCGATCATTTCTTCCCTTGTGCTGGGTATTGCTGCTCAAATGTATGGGTCAAAAGTTGAAACTTAATAAGAGCAGGCGTGTCACTTCCGTAATTTAGGCTGGGGTTCTACTTTGCTGTTCTCCCAGATGATGACACAGATGATGAAACTGATGTGGAGGCAGGGTAGGAAATAAAAGGAGATGCCTTCATTTCTGTCTCATAGCTCAGGCTTGGTGCCGTGGGCTGCAGCTAAGTACCTCTGGAAGTGTCACAGAAGAGTGAACTTCTCTGAGGTTGCATTGCACCTTCTTGGGTTTTAAGTGAGACTATGTTCCTTTGAGTCATAGGCCAGTTTTAGAACTGTTAATTACACTGAGTGAAAGCATCCTGCATGCATTAAAATACAAGCTGTGGGTTACAAAGCTATTTCTGCTCCCCTGCCTGCTGCATGAACAGGAGATGGTGCCCCAGGACCCTACATTCTGGATAGCATTTCCAGAATGGAAGCATTTCCAGAGGAGAAAAGGTCTGCAGCTGATGACCTCGATCTTGGTGTGTGAGGACTGTTCCAGTAGGGATGTTCACCTGTGTCTACAGATGAGCAGATGTTAACCCTTCATTTAAAGACCGAGCCAAAGGGACAGTAGATTCCAAGGCAGAGAGAGAACTTGCCTAGAAGGTGGGAAATGGGGTGGGAGAGTACCAGTGTGCCCTAAGTCCTGGCACAGAGATCCAACCCAAGAAATTAGGTCTGGCCACTTGCCCAGAAGTCAGACAGAAAGGAGTGTATCAGAAAGATGGAGATCAAGGGTCTCAGCCCGTCTCTGGGCACCGGCATGAGCTTTAGGTTTCAATAGAGGGAGGGTTGGGGCAGGAGGCAAGAGATCTTCATGGTTAAGCAGTCTGGGTCCAGAGGTCTTTGTCTCTGTTCTGGTTCTGTAGAGTGATTCAGGAGATGTCTTTAGCACTTGAGGGGACTGTCCAGTTCCCATGAGATGATTCCTCCTGCTACAGGGAGAGGGGATACCCTCACTTTCTTAGTTTTCTCAGTCTTGGGGTTATTGCCCCCATTCGGGGTAATCTGTTTGTAAGGCTCTGCTGCTCTGGAATCCAGGGTGACTACAGGTTTAGGACCATGGCTGTAGGCTTCAAAGTGCCTTTAAGGAGTCATAGGATGTTGTGAAAACTGATGGCACCAAACCTTAGTTGATCTGTGGTTTTGTTTTTGAGGCTAGGTGTCACTATGTAGCCCAGGCTGGCCTCAAACTCTTCATGCCTTCAGCCTTGAAGAGGTGATGAGATAGGTCAGTTTTCCTCACATTTTAGGCACACATTCCTTCAGTGATTAGCATACTAATGTGTGGACCCGAACAGGAATCAGAATGAGACAAAAGGTGCCAGTCTCAGGCCTGCTCCCAGTTACCCACCTGGCATCTAGGCCCAAGCAAGGACCCAGTGCTTTGTAGCAAAACCAGTGTCATAGTGCCTGTTAAATCTACACAGGGGCAGGCACAGCCAGGACATGGTGCAGGTGTGGAGTGGCCCTCCCTCAACTTCTGCCTGTCTCTACCAGCTCCTCTGGGCCTGAGCTGGCTCTGATTTGTTTGGGAGGACTTATTGGTGGGGCCTCCTGAGGGTATGTAATTCCAG